CTTCTGTGTCCCCTCTGTGTCCCCCTCCATGTCCCTTCTGTGTCCCTCTGTGGCCCCCTCCACGTCCCTTCCATGTCCCTCTGTGTCCCCCTCCATGTCCCTTCTGTGTCCCCTTCCACGTCTCTTTCGTGTCCCTCTGTGTCCTCCTTCACAACCCTTCTGTGCCCTCTGTGTCCCCCTCCATATTCCTTCTGTGTCCCTTTGTGTCCCCTTCCACATCCCTTCCGTGTCCCTCTGTGTCCCCCTCCACGTCCCTTCCGTGTCCCTCTGTGGCCCCCTCCATGTCCCTTCTGTGTCTCCTCTATGTCCCTCTCCACGTCCATTCCATGTCCCTCTGTGTCCCCCTCCATGCCCCTTCTGTGTCCCATCTGTGTCCCCCTCCACGTCCCTTCCATGTCCCTCCGTGTCCATCTGTTAAAATGTTTAAATACTCTCCCTGACTCCAAACTCACTACCACGAGGGTAAATAATTCTGCCCAATGCTATAGGGTGATGAGCCTGCACTGCTCAAGCCCACTTTGAGAGCGGGATGTTAAAGACAGGGAAGGTTGACATGGGTTCAGCAAGAGAATGAAACATGGGCAGCACCAGATCCTGCATTTGTGTAGCACCAGACCTGGTAGTAATGCAACACTAATTGGAATTGAATCAGGAAATCTTCAGAATGCATTCAATCCTGCTGGCATAGAAACTACAAATAACACACGTGTGATAAAGACACGTGATAAAGTCACACGTGTGATAAATGCACACGTGATAAAGACACACATGATGAGCTGATGCCCTTGTTATTTAGACACCAATCATTAATAATCCAGTTCCTGAGTTGAATGCCAAAGTCTGAATGAATTACCAAGTTGGTGCAATCAGCCTCCCCTGGTTCAGGGAGATTCAGAACCAAAACCCGTGGACACAGCTTGAAGATACGGTGCAGGCAACTCCATGGAAGACACTATGAAGAAGAGCCAAGCAATCTCTCGAGATTCAGGATCCTGTTCTGGCAGCTACGGATCCTTTGTGAAATAAATACCAAAGCAAAAATCCCCAGTTCAAAAGCAAAGCTCAGACTCCTGACCATCAGGAAGACAATCCAAGACAACAAACTTCCACCCAATGAGCTACCAATCTGCCAAGTCTGAAGGGAACACATTGGGTCAGAATAGTGGAACATCCAACTTGTCAAAATTTGTTATGTCAAAGGTATGGGGAGAGATGGGGTCCTGGATCATTTAATTATAGAAATGAGCATCAATGTTAGCTTTGTACAAAAACTTGGGGGCAGATGTTGTATATCAGTG